AGTTTATTGGAGATTATTTGGCTAGACTGGATTTGGGGACAAAGAATAGGACACTTCAGGAGGGCTTAAACTTGGAAGACAATGTGACATTGATTTAAATTTTGTTATGACTCAAGATGACAAGTTTGGTTCCTGAAATTCTAAAGAAGTTCCTGGTGAATTGTACAGAAGTTCACTCATTCCTTCACTCATTGAATAGATACTAATTGTGTGCCTGCCCTTTAGAAGGTATTAAACTGGGTACTTTGGGTCAAAAAGGAACCACAAGCCACAATCCATGCCTTTAAGGACCTTTCGTCTAGGCGGAGACAAGTCACATGCAAAAAGCAAAACTACAAAATGGCGTAAAAAATAATTAACATGCCCTGATTCTTTACGCCACACCATGCATATACTTTAGAAACCTTATATCATTTTGTCTTGAACACAGCCTGTGAGGTGGGTGCAGTCATATCCCTGTTCTGCTAGCACACTTTAGAGAGCATAAGGACTCTGTCCAAGGTCATGCAGCTGACATATGGCAAAGCCTGTCAAGTCCCTGCCCTTAATCTCATTGCCGCCTCCACAGTTTAAATTGTAATAGTTTAAAACTTGGATCACAAGGAATAGAAACGTGAGGCATAGAGAAAGGAAATATTAAATAAAATCCCTGAAAGTAAAATGAAGAGGGAGAGTCACCTGAGAATGAGATGAGAGGTAAACGGAGCCGAGGAAGACTAGAGAGCATGGAAGTGTCAGAGAAGGAGAGGAAGACTGGGGAGGGAGGGCAGCATCGGCAGTCAAGGGGATCGTTACTTGGAGGGACAGGATGACACCGCAGTGAGATCAGTGGAGATGAGAACTGAGTAAAAGTCTTTGCTTTGGCTACTAGGTTATTGTCAATATTCCAGGGAAGCTTTTGGGAGAGAATGGAAAGAGAAGCTAGGTTGCACTGGGTAAATTTTGAGTAACCATTTTGTCTCTGAATTGCCAGTTCTACTAATGGACCATCAAGCAGCACAAACATGGTAAGTGGGGCTAGGTGGGAGAAGGAATAGGGAGTGGGGAGGTCTGCGGCAAACTAGAGGACAATATTACCTGATCTTTTCATTTTCCAAAGGGGGCTAGAAATCTGGAGTATTTTCCATGGCATTACCTGATTTCTAAGTGTTAGTTCAGTCAAAAAAACCCAAAATACTGTGTTGAGGACCAACTATAATACATCTGTGGGATGAATTTGCCTACCAGCTGCAAGCTTCTGAAATTCTCTTTCCAGAATTTTGAAAGTGAAATAGTGAAGTATCTTGAAGAAGCAAGGTTAGGGACATACGTGAGGTAGGTGTGTGTCTGTATGTGTGTGTGTGTGTGTGTGTGTGTGTGTGTGTATGTGTGTGAGAGAGAGAGAGACAGAGAAGGACTGCCTATTTTTGTTTTCTTGGGGTGGATAAACACAAACTCACTAAGGAGGAGGATTAAATAAAGTGAGAGAGACCCAAACTATCAAACAGAGATGTCTGGAAAGTTAAAAGTGCCAGTGGTGGTGGTTGGGATGTAATTATGAGGCTGATATTAGAAAGAGGAGAAGATGCAGAAAGACAGAGTGATGGGAAAGTGAAGACAAGGAAGTGAAGAGAGCCTCTCTTGAGGTTAGAGGACATATTGGATGCTAAGTGGGGAGTAAAAAGGAGCCTGGGAGCCACCTAGGAACCTGGAAAAGTTGTGTGACTGCTGCTTATGGTATAGGTTGTGGCAGGAGTTTGGGATAATTAGAACATGGAGTAGCAGTGAGGACCTAGCTGGCTTGCATTATCCTTTATTTTTTCATTGAGCATTTATTTTTGTGATACTAGTCAGCAATACAGATACAGTAGAAGGTACCCAATAGAATAAGACTTAATTACTGCCTCAAGAGCATATGGTGTCTCTCATGATCTGTAGCTCTAACCTGAACTGATGGACTAGTTTCTCACAAGTCATTCATTCACTTGATATAGTCATCACTTTGCTGTAACTGTGAATTATCTGTACTATTATTTGCACAATAGTTTTCCCTAAATCATCTCTTATTTTATATGTAAACGTAGACAGAAAAAAATTAAAATAGAAATGAAAGATAGAAAAAGGAAGCCATATTTCATTATTTGCCATTACACTGCATTTTTTCCAAATATGTATCTTTAAAACATACAAAACCATCTGACATTTTGTCAAAAGTTTATCTGCATTCCATGAAAAATAATCTTATATGTCACCAGAACATAACACTACATCTTGGGAAGCATGGAACTGGTTAGTTTTTGGAGTTCTTTAGGTCACTCAAAGCAAGAATTTTTCCATGTTAAAATAACTGTGTATGGCTTTGGTTTTTATTCAGGCAGGCCAGCTTCAATGATCTAATCTGAATAGAATGGATAAAGGCAGGCACCCCTTTGTCTGACAATTTTTAAATGATGCTGTTTGAATACCAAAAAGTTTGGAGCTTGACTGCAGAGCCTTCCAAATTAATCTTATCTGGGAAAAAAAAACTAATGCCATCAAGTAACAGGAGATTTGTCAGCTGCCCTGCTTTTACTTTTCATATAAAACATAAAGGTTGGCAGATTATAGATGAAAGGTCAGTTCAGCAAAAGAGAAAATGTGTCAGACAATCTCATAACATAGGTAACAGATGATGGAAGTGGAAACTACGATTGGATTCTCAGGAAGAGATGCGTTTGTTGGCAATGTGTAAATATCATCACTGGTTTTGTGGCTGTTGATTTCGGTGGCTACTTCTTTATGCTGAGTCTCCAAAATTTGATTTAAAAGACACTGAAGAGGCCTGTCTTCCTGAGGAAGATTTGTTTTGCAACAGTTCTATTTTTTTTTTTTTTGGAAGAGCTGGCCTGAAGTAGAAAAATGTACCTCTTTTGTCTTGTTTCCCCATCTCACCCATGCCACCCCTGAACCAATGCTCAAAAACGGAACAAGTGAGAAGGCAAGCCCTCTTGCAAGAGCCATGGCACATAAAAGAAGAGAGTCTGTCGTCATGAATGATTAAAGGCGAATAAGGCAGCTACCACATCACTTGAACAAATAAAGTTGCTCAAAGATCCGCATATGTAGGACCTGCTTTGGAACAGATTACTGCCCAGGAAAGCAGTTCAGCCTGTTCCAGCCTTGGGAGCACAGATGAAGCTGGGGGCTCAGTATCAGGCCAATGGGGTCACAGAGACATGATGCCGGAGTTGGGGGCATCTCACAAATTTCCTGTGTGTGTGCAGTGTTGGGAATTTGTAGCCTGTTGATACATCTTTCATCTGTATTTGAAGTGCAGGAAATTGCGATGTACAGCACACTTCTTGCCTTATGCTTGTGCGTGTTATAAACTCCCGTTCACATGCACTGGGGAGAGGCTTCCTATTTTCTATGAGCTCTTCACCGCAGACTTGCAAAAATAACTGAGGCCAAAGGCATGTCACACAACATTGTGGGCTGCTGGACAAGGATGTATCTATTGATGCTTGGCGGCAGCGTTTTTGGTTTCATCTTTCTGCAGTGTTATTTTCATCTCTCCCTTTAGCCTCCGCATTAACCCAAATGCTACATATGCAATTTCATTACTGTTAGAAACCTAAAAATTGAAAGCTAAAGAAAAACCCAGTAGCATTGCAAAGCATCTTCTGGCATTATTAAAGATTGCTTCGGTATTAGCAAATACATTTGTGGTGCATTGCTGAGACTGCGGACTTTGCAGTGTAATCTGCAGTTTGCATTGCTCAAATCCGGGTGTACAAAAAATTGTACTATGTAGTTCCTTTCATTTTGTGGACCTATGACAAAACTTGTCTCTCCCTCAAAATAATTCTCTTCCCCACTGAGCCTCATTAATTAAATTATTGACTCTGGCTCGCTGGTAAGTACCAGCTCTTACAACAAGTGTATCCAATTTCCTGCTAGTGGTAATTTTCATTCTTCCTGGAATAACAGGAAACACTAATTTCGCATTGGACCCAGGAGTCTTAGGAAGCTGGAATTATAGGCACCATTGTCCCACCCTTTTCTCCCTCAAAATGAAATAAAATTAAATAAAATGAGCAGCAGCCTAGCAGTGAGGCTTGAAGGGTGGGTAATGACAAAGAAAAGAAAAGGGCATTAATTTCAGGATGGGGACAGCTGCCCGGCACTATCTCCCTTTGGATTTTGGTTCTTATAGCATCACAGTGAGTTATTAGTATGTATGATCTGTACTTTATTCAAACATTATAAATCTATGCAGAAGTCTGGTGTTTGGGTTTTCCTTTATAACTTTCATTCTTCTTCCCAGAACTATCTCATTTCGATCAGGAAACTTTTGCATAAAAAGCACACACCAAGAACTCACATTTTCATACCATAAATATTAAAAGGGGGTTAAGCTTTACAGTTTCTTCTCCCATCCCAATGGGAAGAAAGTTAGCCTTCTAATTGGGGGGCCATTATTAATGGCCTTTTTATTCACAGGCCAAAAGGTAAACTTTAACTTGCAATATGAAATTGTACTATGTAGTTCCTTTCATTTATGTTAATTGTGGACTGCTTGGCTATGCTACATCTTTTGTATAAAGAATATACTAAAAATCTAGCAGTTATCTGAGTTGTTAGAATAGTTGGCCGGCTTTCTTTTGAGGCCCATACCAAGTGCAGACCTTTTTTAAGTATCTTGATTAAAGTGCTGCTGGTTGCTGGATAATTATAAAGTATGGATTCATCACAGTGTGGACTCATCACAGTGTATCTGTAGCATATAGTAGAGAGAAACGAAACTAAAAAACTTAATGTCTTCTTAGTAGCTTCTAGCTTCTTAGCGGCTTCCTATCTCCAGTTTATTGTCATTTTTGTTAGCGTATAGGAGTAGTCATAAATTTTGGTTCCCATGGAAATCTAAAGGAATATGTGAGCTATTTCATCTGGGCATGCTGACTGTTAATCACGCAGTCTCGGCTGTTGTACTTCGTGATGGGAAATGAACATGCTAATTGGTGCTCTTTTTTTTATTTCAGGAAACCTGCCATATGAATATAAAATAGTGATTGCTGGGAATCATGAACTGACATTTGACAAGGAATTCATGGCAGACCTTGTTAAACAGGACTACTATCGTTTCCCCTCTGTGTCCAAATTGAAACCAGAGGACTTTGACAACGTGCAGTCCCTCCTGACAAACAGTATTTACTTACAAGACTCGGAGGTGACAGTGAAGGGATTCAGGATATACGGTGCACCTTGGTAAGTGTTCGTTCCAACAGTCCTGCCCTCCCTTTTTTAGCTCAGCACTCAAAAATCATGGCTCATACTTGGGAACTTTAAATGAAAAGGAAAAGTGCAGAGAGAGACGCCACTGCTCTGCTGCCAACATAACACATCTTCTGGTCCTGCTTGTGCTTTTCACTGCGATGCAGATTTCTTCAGGCCAGACCAGAGTGAGTCGGGCTTTGGCAGACATGTGTGTCTTTCTGTGACTGGGGCTGCGTGTGTGTGTCTGCAGGACATAGGGTTTGGGGGAAGGTCACGTGTTTCCCGTCACACACATTCAGCTACTCTGAACATTCCATCAACCTTAGGTAACCCATTTCCCTCTCGTTTGACACTGGAAGCACTCATAAAATATCTTGCTTAGATCAGGGTTTGTGAAATCTTGCTACACATCAGAATTGTCTCACCAACTCTGAAGAAATGCAGATTTTGAAGCCACAGTCCGCTTAGTTTCTGATTCTCCCTGAGGTGGAGCTTAGTGATCTTTATTCTTAAAGCTTCCCAGATGACACTGATGCACAATTTGAAAGGTATGGGTTGAGAGATCAGTGCTAGAACTCTCAACACTGAGCTCTAGAAAACTTGAAGCAGGTGGGTATTCTTGGGAGCAAGCAGGAAGCATTTTGATCAAGGCTCTATTCATTGTCAGGCTTCTGGTTTTGAAGTTTATTCACAGACATTGGGCCTTGGCCTCTGCATTGCTAACATGGAGATGGTGAACTCTTAATTGAGTGTTTGCTGTATGTCAGACACTGTTCTAAGTCCTTTATATTTCTCATTTTCTTCCAAATACTTTTCAAAGATGGGCATTGTTAGGATTCTTATTTGACAGCTGAGGAAATGAAGGCACAGAAAGGTTAAGTTAGTTGAGGAATGAACTCTGATTGGCAGAGAAGCTCTTCATAGAGTTGAGATCATTTGCTCAATAACTAGATGAATTTTGAAACATCTCCAAAGGGCACAGGATATTATGAAGTTTGAATTAGGTGACATTTGCCGTGGATTGAGAAGAGTGTCTGCTGGTTTGCTTAAAATAATAGTTGACATTTTTTCTGGCCCTGGTTCTGTATTTATGTGAACTTGAACAAGTCAGTTAGCTTCCAGAGCCAGATTTTTCATCTTAAAATTGGGGGTTTTAGACCAGAAGGTCAATATTAGAGGTGTCTTGGGTCACTTATTTATTTATTTACTTTCTGCAAGCACTGTGTGTATAGAGTGGAAGAACTTATCCTTTACTCACCCAACCTAGAAAAATATCCCAGTCCTGCTGGAGGCATTGTGGATAAGGCTGGAAGCGGACGAGCAGAGTGAATTCAGATGATTAGCCACCCCACTCAACAGTTTGGGCTGTCCTCTGCAGAACTGAAAGTTAAGATATTTTCTCAACAGCTGATCATGGTTTTCCTAGCTTTACTACTTGATATCCAGAAGGACTGATAAGTGGATACAGGAAGTATATTTCTGTTAAAAATCAACCTGACAATGACCATGAACTCTTAATTGAGTGTTTGCTGTATGTCAGACACTGTTCTAAGTCCTTTATATTTCTCATTTTCTTCCAAATACTTTTCAGAGATGGGCATTGTTAGGATTCTTATTTGGCTGCTGAGGAAATGGAGGCACAGAAAGGTTAAGTAGCTGCTGGAATCACACCGATATTAAGTCGTATCCTCACCCGAGTCTGGCTGCAGGGAATGTGATATGACTGGGGTGGTGGTGGTGGTGTGCTAATCGGTGGTACTCTGCAGTGGTTATATCCAGCTTTATGAATGTTCGTCAATCAATTATTTTATCTGTGAGAAGATGGTAAAGGGCAAGAGAATAAACAGAAATTAGTTCTGTCAAACAGTAATCTGAAAACTGATCTCAGGGCAATGTAGGATATCGATATTAGCATTTCTGAGTAAAGGGCAGAAGAGAGAAAGCTTTTCCAGTTTCACAGCTCTCCTTAATCGCTATGTAGTAGTTGAGGAATGACCTCTGATTGACAGAGAAGCTCTTCATAGAGTTGAGATCATTTGCTTAATAACAAGACGAATTTTGAAAAATCTCCAAAGGGCACAGGATATTTAAGGCCATTCCCAAACAAGCAGGGCTCTCAGAGACCCCCAGATTGATAGCTGCTGACATGGTGACAGCTCACAAATGGCCCCCATTATCTGCACAGGTTCAAATCTTTTTAGGAAAGGGCTTGGCTGAGCCAGATTATGGCTGGGATGGACGAGGGATGAACTTTGGATCCTGAGGCAGGTCTGCAGCATCTGAAGAAATCAAAAAACATAGTAACTCAAATACGTGATGTGATGGGGCATAATCTGCCTTTTGGTGGCAGTACAAACTTTAGACAAAGTTTGTGTCTGAACTGGATTGATATCATTCAGCAATTTTTTTTATTTTCATGTTGGAGCAGGTGCTAAAGTCAAGAAAGTAGGCAGCATTAGTCTTCTGAAATACTATCCTGAAATTGTCTTTACACAAAATTTATTGGGATTTCCAGAAAGTGTGAACTATTTCTTGTCTCGCACCTCTTTACAGTGAGGGAAATCTTGGAATGGAATTTGTCCCACCCATTAAGAATTGTTGGTACTTTGTGTTTGGCCTAAGGATATAGAGGTTGACAAAAAGAAAATTTCCATTTCATTACATATTTTGGAGGAATCAGTAGTTTGTATTTCACTGTGAAGATATTTTGTTAAAATGAATATTTCCAGGACTGCTGATAATCTGAACATTGATTGCGGAATGCCTACATTAGCATTTCCGTTCAGGAAGAACAGATTTTTCCCAGCTCTACCCTGTATTCAGTCCTGGGACCTGGGGTGAGTGTCTGAACATCTCCATGCCTCTGTTTGAGCAACATGACTTCCCTCACATAACTGTCATGAGGATAAATGAGTTAATGCATCCACAGCATGTAGAAGACTTCGTGGCTTAAAGTAACATTTTGGTAAGTCTTAGCTGTTACTGATGTAGTGGGATTGGCTTTTCCAATTTACTTTATTCCTTTGTCCACCTTCCCAATGAAGACTGCCGCACTAGGAGTCTGTTGGGGTAGGTTCCAGCCCTAGTTCAGCCTCTGCTGATTGGGTGACACTAGGCAGATCATTTAACTTCTGTTTGTAAAATGGGGCAATGAGGTCTGCCCTAGTTTCTCTCATATGCCACTCACTTAAATGGTCACCAAAGTTGGAATCTTTATTAAGAGTATACATGTTTGTGGGCATGCTTGATTATTTGAATATCTTGTAAACTTTCTAACCTCTTTTGCTATTATGGATGTGACTAGAAGCAAGGTTTTGGGGGATTTATACCAAAGCTACCACTTTTCTCCCTTAAGGAATTGAGATTTTTCCATCCCTGAGATTCACGCATAGATGAATGCCTGCTTAGTAATCCATTAGATATTCCAATCCCAAAATGATGCAAATTGATTTAAGTTTGATTTCCATGCTTTCCCAATGACTTTTGTGGAGGAAATATTAAGTTCCGAGTTGCTGATATTGCTAGTGGTTTTAATTTAAGAATGGAAATCAAAATGAGAACCTTGATACCAAGGATTTCCATCCTGTTACAGGTTTCTCAAAAGTGATTGTTCTAAACCAAGGAGATGGCTGTAACTCATGTATTTTTAAAAGTATGGATTGTGAGTTGGTTTCACTATAAAAAAAGGAATATTAGTCCACAGTCATTATACTTTACAACTTATACCACAGCTGAAAGCTTCCTGAAGAACAGGGAGAATTGAAGCAGTGTCTCCTAATTTACAATTGAATAAGGATTTATATGTGGAAGATTTGTCACTGCAGAGCATTCCTGTGTGTCTGCAAGTGGAGTATGCAGTGGTACTTACTAGATCCCCAAGGAGGAGGATCTGGATGTGGTTTGGTGAGTCTGGGAACATTCAGCAGCCTATACTGAAGAAGTGGTTAGGGGATTCTTTGCCCTGGAAGAAAGATAGGTGCTCTCTTGGAAAGAAGACAAGAGTTGGTGACTCTCCAGAGGCATCCCTGCCTCCAGAGACCTTATGTCAGGTTCTGTGGCTTCTATATATATTCCTTCACCATCTTGTTCTTCCAAAAATCTTCAAAGGAATCAAGGATGATGTATCCGTGGGGGTAACAGTTCAGTCACAGTTTCTCTGAACTTCTGTTATGCTTTTCTCTCTCTCTTGGGAGGGTCTTATGTTGCTAGGCAGTTAGGTCTGTCTAGGAGTTTGCTCTCACAAAAGGAAAGCTGTGAATTCCTTGTATCCCTCATGTTGATTCTCTGCCATCAAGGTAGTTCCTAATTTCCTCTTTGTGATCACCCTCAGCTCTGTCTTTCCCAAAGGCTGAGTATGGTTAGAAAGAGGAGCCAAAATTCTGATCTGTCAAATATTAGCCACTGGGGTAACTGCTTATCTGGCCAGGATAGAGGAGATTGAAATTTTGAAATCATCTTTGTATTTTTGGTTACTAGATCTGTACTGAGCATTTCAGTGTAAGCAGGTTTTGGTAAACTCACCTGTGGAACTTGGCATTTAAAAATTGACCAGCTCCTTCTTTTTTCTGTTTTCAGTTGATCTGTTGTTACTAAGATGCTGTTTAAAATAAAAATCTAGGCACTAATTGATCAGCAGCTAAGCTGCAAAAAATAAAAAGTCCATGTTGTTCCGACCTGAGTGAGCAGTGTTTTGTTCAGTGACAGCCTGTACCTTGTTCCCCTTCTGAACAGAAATGCAGAGCTGGTCTCCCATGGCTTTTAATGAATATGAGTGGGGCTTTCCTATGTCCAGGAATTTGATCTCTGTGGTGACCAAGGGGCCAGGAACAAAGAGCACACTTTTTCGTGTTAGAGTAGACCCAGGTGTAATTTGTCAGATTTAGTAACTGTGGAGGAAGTGCCCTAACTTCTGCAGCAGGAGAATTAGATCGGGCCTGGGCAGTGTAATTCCAAAATGGCTGAAATAGCAAGAGAAAGCCCATTGAGCTGCA